AGTGGAGAGAGTTCAATTTCTCGTGAGTATTTATGATATCATGATTCACCACTTTCATTCTTTTTGAGCAAAGTGTATTTCTATTAAGCTCCGCTGCCAACTTTGACTGGTAACATTCTTTTCGTTTGAGTACCTGCTTTGGCAAAATTACCTCCCCCTCAAGTGCCCATGTGTGTGATGAAGCCACTCATAAACTAACTGATCTCGTTCTCTCTTCTTAGTAACATTTGAGTTCCTCACTCAAGTGGAAGTATTTATACAAAAAGGAACCATACGCCATTTTCAAACTTTTCGGTGGAGAGAGTTCGACTAAAGCCAATGGCGTTTCCTCACTAATGAACCGATTTTGGTTTACCGTTGCTTGTTTGAAAGCTGAGGAGTTTCTTTAATTACGCACGTTGCCAAAATTCCAAAAAAATTACTGCCAAGCGAGGTATAGGGGATTTTGCACGTAGGTACTACTGATTCATTGCGCTATCGGGGATACTAAATTAAATCAAAAGGATGAACTATATCCACTTAATCGACGCGCGTGGCAGAGATTTGTGGAAACTTGGTGAAACTTGGCTGCGGTGGGTAGTTTTAGACAGGAAACTCGAACTTCTGGTCAAATTCCAACAATTCGAAAATCCAAGATGGCGGGTATGGCCTAAAATGCTATCTCGGCTCCTGTCCCCTCGATCTTGGTGAAACTTGGTGCCAGCGGGTATATTTGGACGGGAAACTCGAATTTCTGGTCAAATTTCGAAAATTCGAAAGTCCAAGATGACGGTCGTGACCTAAATTGCTATCTCCTATTTAAACTATCGAACACGTCTAGAATGGCCGCCAGATAGAGAACCTGCGGAGCTTGCATGGTTCGGGTTTGAAAGGCTGGAGGAAGGTGGGAGCCCAAGTATATCGAACGTCGATCTCTTCTTCTAGGGTTTAATGGCTGTATACTGCAGTGAGGAGCCTGCAGCCAACTATAGACATATTGCGGTTAGGGATTGTTTAGCTGGTTAAAGGGAGGGGAAGTAAAAGTAAGGGCATGTGTAGTAAAATTAAAAGGAAAGCTACGGATACGGCCACCATCTTCATGCCACAAGACCCACTGTGGCGGAACCTCAATCTCCATTCCCGCTGCATCTTGCCACTGAGGATTACATGTGAAAATTTCCGTCTTTGTAAACTTAATTATTTTGAGGTGTGCATGTCAGATCAAAAAATTTGAACTCGTTCGAATGGCCTTCTATGTTCACAATACTCCGCCTCGTCGAGGTGCGTGGTTGACCTCGCAGTGTTGGATCGTGAATTCCCTTCATGTGCTGATTGCATATATATATATTAAAAAATCCCCGTGAATAAAAACTAATCAGGTTGATATTTACGAGTCAATGACGCGCCTCATCAACACATTGCGTTGGAGTTCACTGCTTGTTTTTTTTTCTTGCATACTAACTCTCACGGAAAGAGCAGTTACCTAACAGTTTCTGTTGTCATTTTTAGCCCCGAACACCGAACTCCACACAAACGATTCAGGCATTGAGGTATTGTTTAAGGCCACATTTGCTATCTTGGATTTCAAAATTTTAACAATGAGTTTGCTCAGTAATTTTTTATTTTTGCATTTTTTGAAGTATTAAGTACGCAGAGCTCAGTGAAATTTTCTTTGATTTTTTTAAAACAATTTTAACCCACAAATAACAAGTTTGAAGTTGCGTATTCTAAGCTCCCATTTAAACTCCCGTCTCTGAGGAAGTCAAGACGGGGCCTGAGAGATCCTGCAAGTGAAGGTCACACTTTCGACCAGGCGTTCCTTCTAGTGCGCTCTAAATACTCATAAATATCTAAATACTGTTCCGATTCCAATGAAATCCCTGACAGTGATTTTAATGAAAATGGAGTGACTTCGATGGGTTTGTTCGTTCGTCTGTTTACTTCCCGTTAACCATGCACAGAAATCGATCGCGTCAGAGGAAACGCGCGGTCGATATGTGACCGTCACTCAGGGGATCTTCTAGAGGACATAATTGATTTTTCGGCGATGCGCGTTTAAATAGGAGATAGCATTTTAGGCCGTTTCCACCATCTTGGATTTTCGAAATTAGGAATTCGAGTTTCTTGTCTGAAGGTAACCCTTGGTACCAAGATTCACTAAGATCGATCGATAAGGAGCCGAGATGGCTTTTTAGGCAATGTCCATTATCTTGGATTTTTGAATTTTCAAAATTTGACCAGAAATTCGAGTTTCCCATCTGGAAGTATCTACCGGTAACAAGTTTCACCAAGATCGAGTGGACTGGAGCCGAGATAGCATTTTAGGCCATGCCAGCCATCTTGGATTTTCGAATTTTAGAAATTTGCCCCAAAGCTCGAGTTTCCCGTCCAAAACTATCCACCATAGCCAAGTTTCTCCAAGTTTCCACAAATTTCTGCCGCACGCGCGTCAATTAAGTGGATGTAGTTCTTTTTGAATGAATTTGGAATCCGGGTTAGTGTATTAAATCAAAGGGAAATACTGTAATAGGGGGGATGAAATGATCCAACGCTCGTAGCTCAGAATGGTAGATTTGATCAATATAATCGGCAAAGTGACAGGGTATACACAGGATGCACTTGGCTAAGGTGATCACTCTACTCGCTGCCTCGATATACGATGACGCGCCGCGAATATCGAGAGTATATATCTTGTAACGTCCGACCGAGCCATGACGTCGGAGGCGTGATCGCGAGATAATCGGCGCTACAAGACAGATGCTCTAAACATCAACATGCTCGCCTGAGCCTGTACTTGCGAAATCGATGGCTTTCGGACCGAATGAGCTAGAAAGCCTAATGGAATGCGGTCCTAGAAACGTAGGTGATATGGCCTCATTCCATTACAATACACATAGTTCCTTTTGTTTTCATTAGTTATCCCCGATTTTCTGTTTTACGATTTTTCAGGCGCTATTCCGAGGGGATGAAATTGGTTTCTTGGGGGCATATTTATATGTCAGAGTGGTGTATGTATGGAGTCTCCAGATCCGTTGAAAACTGAAAATCGGAAATTTGGCACTTGGTTCCCTTTCGTATAAATACGTCCAAATCATTATATTACAGCTCTAAGCGCGCCTAAAAATCGCCGGAAATTCATGCTAGGAATTTCTTCCTCCCGCGCGACGCGCCACGCAAGCCCAACGACCGCTCTCCGCTCCCAGTGACAGCCTCCTCCCTACCCGCATGCCTTCCCCTCGCCCGGCACCGCGCCGCGCGCGTCACCCACTTCTCGGCTTTACTCCGCATCGACGTTGCCGAGTGAGTTCATCCAGTGGCCATTCTCGACTGGTTGAGAGCGCTGCGGTGTGCACCTCCGCTCGATTAAATGCTGCGATTGCTTTCGATCTCATGAAGAATTGAAGAGCGAACGTCCTCGAAAAATATACTCTCGAACTCTCTAAAAAATCGAGGGGGCGAACCCGGGCAAGCAATTTCGCGTCAAACAAAAGCGAGGCACCTCAGCCATTTCCGAAATGAATTGGAATCCGTTTAAGTCCTTTTCGTCAAAAATAAATACATAAATGAAAACAAAGGATGAAATATGTCATTTCAAAAAAGTATGCCACTGAAGATATGTTTGAAAATAGACTAGAGTTCACTGAAGTCTTTTTATGAAAATCAATAAAAATGGTGCTACTTGGGATGACCTACGTCTTTTCTAAAAAAAAAAAAACTTTACTTAGCCGTTTTAGAAGAAAAACTGGTAGTCCAGTAAATCTTTTTTGAGAAATAAAAGATTACGTAGCAAAATAATTTGAAATCACTTACGTCTATTTTAACAAAATAAGTACTATAACAGAAATGGAAGACACCTTCGTCGGCTCTAAAAAGTGTGTCACCGAAGCCATTTCCAAGATGATATCGGAGTCCACTTGCGTCCTTTTTGCAAAACATGTACGCACACAGAAACGGAGGACATAACTTACGTCATTCTAAAATAGTGTGACTCTCGAGTCATGTTTTGGGAAAAAATCTTGAGTTTACAAACGCCTTAATGGAAAAATATAAATAAAAATACATTATCGGAGGATGACTTACGTCATTTCAAAATAAAAATGTCACCGAAGCCATTTTAGAAGATGAACGAAAACGTCTTTTTTTGTCAAAATTTATAGGTTTATGAAGCATAATAGTCTGAGACTACTTACTTCTTTCTTGACGAAGTGAGTGTGTAAATGATGATGGAGGCATAATTACGTCGTTTCAAAAAAGCGTGTCACCCAAGTCATTTAATAAAATAAGGCCGGAGTTCTCTCAGGTCCTTTTAAGAAAAAATTAATAAGAATACAGCAACTCAGGATGACTGGATGAACGATCAGACAACACGGATAGAAGTAGACATCCATGATCTCAAGTCTCTCTCTAATGGGAAAAATAGCATAAGTTTTGTGTAAATTTTTTGTAAATATTTGTCGAAAAAGAAGAAAAATCAAGACAACAAGTAAAAATTTCCTTCTACACCTTTTTTTCTTGGCGTTTAATCATTAAAGAGTCAAAAGCAAGAAAAAAAAGAACATTAACTTCTTTGCAAGTTTCCTCAGAACTCCTTTGAGGGACGTCAGAACCTCTCTCACGAAAATCTCGAAATTTCCTCAACAAAAGTCACTTGAAGAAAATTGGAGGCGAGTCGAAACGAGGTTTGAAGTCGAGGAAGTTTCGAGTTGCGTCTTAAAATACCGACGATCCTCGAGGACACTCCAAATGTAATCGAGGCAATTTCGAGTCGAGGAAGTGTCGAGGAACGTGTTAAAATTTCGGCCTTACGTAGCTTTCCTGTGTCTTGTTTGTAAAACGTGGATAAAGACAAAGATTATCAAAAGAACTGGAGAAACGATCAAACCTTAAGAGAAGATTACAAACAAGGCACAAGAAAGAATATTTATTAATTTATTTTTAAATCTATTGTGAATCCTGTTTATATTTAACCGAAGACCTTTTTTCCTAGGAGCAACTAAGAATAATATTTTCACTTTTGACAGGGAACGAGTATCAAATATTTCTAGGCAAGAGCTGGGTAATGTGAATATAAGTGGTCTTCAACCAGATAAAACCTATGTATTCACTGTGGTTGGAGTGTCTTCGGGTAGACTTGGAGAAAGTTCTGAATCTCTGACGGTCACAACACAAAAAGAAGTGCATGTAGCTGGTCCTCCGACTCTCGTCATTGCCACTGCGGTTTCAGCTTCAGCCATTTTGGTTCAGTGGCAGGCTCCTGAGTATGCAAATGGTCCAGTCGTCAAATACCAAGTTTTCTATGTTGAGGTACATGCTGTCTTACTTTTTAAAGCATGTACAAATGGTGTTCTTTCCTGTTTAATCAACCACTAGACAAGGTGGGAATTAAAGTATTTTGATACTAGTTTCCCCCTTTAAATTTCATATAGAGCTTAACTTGAGTAACGATAATTGCTTAAATTACCTCCTTAGTAAGTTTGTAATATTTTCAGTTCGCATTGGCTGTGGGAAATTTTAATTGCCTGCTCACAAGAAAAACAGTACTCCAGATGAGTCGAATCGCTCTATACAAAGGTTGAAGAGGGCTCTTTTATCAAGCAGTGTTCCTTTTGTATCCAGTGTTGTTTAAAGTGTAAGCAACCTGCAAAAACTGAGCCAAAGTGCTAAAATTGAGGTTGTTATATTTTTATGCCGCAGAGACTATTACAGCAATGTTTAGTGCGCATTTGACTTGCATTGAATTTTGTTCTTTCATGAACACATCGAAATAAGTTCAATATCTTAGTTGGGAGTTAATTTCAGCAATTTTTGTTGCCCGGATCAAGTTCTACGCAAAATATTAAGTAGGACACTTGTATCAGAAAGTTTTAATTTGCACCTTCTCTGGCGGTTTATTAACTCATTCTTTTAATATACTTTAAGGGTAAAAACATAATGTTGGTCCTCTCTTTTGACTTGTGACATTCTCACCATTAAGACTGAATCATAATGAATGGATATCCTCATTGTACGGTTGATTTCCAGTGTCTATTTGCTGTAGTCTAATCAGAAAGCTGATTGATCATGCATGATCCATGTAAAGCACTGCATCAGAGGCAATAAATAGTCATAGTTTTTTTCCTTTTTTGGGGGAGGGGAGAAACTTAGCAACCCTACACTTTGCTAGTATTAGTATTTAAGCAACACCTAATGTTGTAAATATCAGTATCAAAACAGGCTAGTAAACTTTGGCGTTGGAGAAAGACATAGAAAGAACACAGGGGAGTGAATCTCAAAAAAGTGCGCAGTGATTGGTCAGGATTGGTCTTGCATCCGCTTTTCATTAAAAATGACAAATATGGCATTTTTTTAATTGGCATGCAGCTCTTTTAGATTAGATAAAATTAGATGGAGGATCCCACAGATGGAAACTGGAAAGAGTTGAGTAGAATTAGTTTTACTCCTGTCCCTCAGATTTTATTTCCAGGATCTCTCATTGTCCCTCAAACCAGTGTTTGTTTAAATATCTACCACTGAACACGTTTATTATTAGATGTGCTCATTTAAAGTGTATGCTCCTTTTCTTCATGCAAGATTTAACCTGTTTAATTTCTTTTTTCATCAGGAAGAAATAGCCACCGAGCATTATGTGGAAACTGAAGAAACTCGTTACGAACTCACCAACCTTGCTCCTTTTAGTGTCTACACAATTTGGGTGGCTGCTCTTAATTCAAATGGTCCAGGAATAAACTCAGTAGAAGCTCGTGTGAGAACCTATTCCAGTGCCCCAACCAAACCACCGCAAAGTGTCACAGCTAAACCATTTAGTTCATCGGTACTTATCTCTTTTGATTTTTTTTTTTTTCATCCTAAAGGAGATGAGTTTTTAGCAAACGAGAAGCTTGAATACAAATTTCCTTGAGAAACATCTTCTCTTTTTGTATCGTACCATACGTAAAAGATTTTCAGTCAGGGATTGAAATTTTGATGTATTCATAATCTAATCACATAATATATAATTATGAATGTCTATGTGAAAAGTATATGGTGTGTCTCATTTTTTTAGCAAATATAATCTGCATTTAGTAAAAGGAAGAGTGAAAGAACCTTGTAAGTAATAACAACAGATGGAAGAAACATCTTGCCTTTTTTCGTAAAGCTAGATAATTAATGCAATGGTTATTATCTAACTTTTCTCTTTTATGGTATCTAAATCTCAGGTTGTCACTATAAGTTGGGAACCGCCTCCAAGAGATGGACAAAACGGTATCATCACTGGATACAAAATTAAGTACAAAAAGGGCGACAAAAAACTTAAAGGAGAAGTAGTCGTGACAGCAGGTGACCGAAGAATGTATTCTCTTGAAGATCTTGACAGAAGCTCGGTAAGGAATATTAACTGAATCAGTATTTTTGTATGAATTTTAAGTAATTAATATGAAATTTACAAACTCGCTTTGTGGCATTATTTAGGAGGTAGGAGGACTGTACATTGCACATTGTTCTTCACAGGGACTTAGATCCAAGCCAGAGCAGTAGCTCCGCCATGGACCAAGAGAAAAAATAAAATGGTACTTCACATTTTTGTGTTTGGACCTCCTATTAGGTGTCCCATTTTTCACCATTGTTATACTGCTGGTGTTGTCCAAATGTACATTAACATAGATTTTTATACCTGTCAATTCGTAAATTAAGTCTCTTAGGTACGTACCCTCTCTTACTGTCTCTGCTCATGCAATGTATTCGCCTTCTGTGCTGCTCAAACTCACAATCAGTTGTCATCTCGAACACCAACTTCTGCGTCCCTTAGCCAGGAAAATGACATATCCTGTAGTTGATTTGTGTGTTTCATGGTCCCCAGCAAAGTCACTATCTGCGCACACATTTAGTTGCAACGGAACACCCTGTACAAAGTTTATTCCAAAATCCCCAGCACCGCGAAGGTACCGTAGCATGCGTTTCACATTGTTTACATGCATCATGTTACATGCTTCATGTGTGAAGTTGTCCCACTGTCAAACAAAATCATCCGATGTTTGATCATCATGTGCTTAGAAGGTGTATTTTGGAGACTTTGGATTTTTTGTTGTCCCAGGTTTTGGTTAATCATTTCCATTTTTCTTGGACCAGCAAGTTGCGTCATCGTGCGTGTCCTTTTTTACATCTTGAACACCATTTTTTCTCCTTTTTGTCGCTCTACTTGCACCATTCTGTTTTGTGACCATAATGATTACATCGACCACGTTTTGAATCATTTCTTACATCATACTTGCTTCGGCAATTTTGGGCCAGGTAGCCGCCGTTGTTACACCGATGGCATCGTTTTTTCGATGGTGTTGTAAATGCAACACTGCTTTCTTGCTCAGTTGGTTTCTCTTTGTTTTCCTCTGCTTGCAGTTTTGAGATTAAGTCAGTTAAATTTTTATCCTTTTTGTTCTGCATTTGGCATGCCAGCACGAAACTGTTAAGTCGATCAGGAAGTGTGGTCAGTATTTAAGAGCTGAGCATCTCTTCGATTATTCTGGTATCAAAAGATTTTAATTTTTTATACAGATTTTGCAGCTTTCTTACGTGCTCCGTTAATATAGACCCTTTTTTGGAAACCACACCATAAAATTCTTTCAATGAGATGCATTTTACGTCGGGACCAGCTTTCCTGTACAACTCCTTTAATATGTTAAACATTTCATTTGCAGTCTTCTAGTTCATTATATGGATCAGGACACTTTTTTCCACCGTTGATACTGTATATTTACGCCCTATGGCAATTCGTTTTTTCCACTCTTTCAGGCTCGCAACCTAATCTCATTCTTTTTCTGTTGTAAACGTGACTGTCTGCTTTATTTTCCCTTCCACAACACTTGAAACGTTGCATGTTTTGAAATGCATTGTTATTTCAAATTCCCAGTTTTGGAAATTTTCTTTGTTTTTGAGTTTTGTCACACGACTTAACTCGTTGTTTGTTTCACCCATTGCTGCAAAGAAAACAAACACTATTACATCAATTTGGGAAAAATATTATAGGTTGTGTTAAACCTGTTGAAAAAACGGTTAGTTGCGCCAAAATTTTTTGAGAAAACGATATTAGGATGCATTAAACCTGTTGCAAAAATAATTAGTTGCATTAAACTTTCTAGAGAATTCGATATTAGGTTGCGTTAAGCCTTATCCTCTTAGGTTTTGGTTTTGTGACAATTTTTCGGGTGACATGATGAATTTGGTGTAACTCACTTGTTTTTGTTTGGTCCAGAGCCATAGTAGAATTTTCTTCTTTATACGACGGAAATTTCGTACTCAATAGTTCATCTTCAGTTACACATTTATGTCCAAGAATATTTTTTGCTCGTCCAACGATGTAAAAAATTAAAATAAATAAAAAAATAAAACCTCGCGAAACCGTTACCGCGATATTGTTAATCCATAGAATAATAGCTACCAGAAAGGTAAGTGGCAGATTCTCCTGTAAAATCGCGTATAATCACTTTTTCGAAGCAGACTTTGCTCTTTTTCTCCATGAAATTTGAAATGGCGGAGAGACTTGAGCGGGGGACTTTGCTCTTTTTCCCCGCGAAATTTGAAACGGTTGGCTGAGGGGGGGTCGCGGGGATTTCAAGAATCGGAGCAAAGATGGCCAACTGCTGCCATTCTGGTAGCTATTATTTTGTGGTTAATCACTCTGTTTTGGTGGGTGCGCGCTCAGTTACTTCAGGCTGGAGGGGAGAATCAGTCACGTCACCTGACTTCAACTGCTTGTGCAACAGATGATCTTCTTTTTTGCTATTTGTTTATCTCCAGTTGTTTCAGTAAACGTAATTTTCTGCCTTTGGCGTATGTACGTAAAACCTAGATAGTACACTTCCCTGGTTTGTGTCCGGTTTCTATTAGGTGGTCACTAAGAGATGATTTTCCAATGTTTCTGCGTTTGGCACTAGTGAAATGTTCTTTGGTTCTCACAGCAACTTTCCTTCCAGTTTGGCCAACATACTTTTCCCCACATTTACACTGGATTTCGTAGATGCCACTATCATTTATCCTTTCAGGTTTAATACTTTTCTTGGTGTTAATCAACAATTTGCCTAGGTTGCGTTGATTGCTAAAGGTTACATTGGTGTTTTTATCTCTTTCTATAATTAGTTTGGTTTTCTCAGACAGGTGTTCGATGTATGGAATTGAGATCCAGTGGTCTTATTTGGGTTCGTAAGCCCCTCCACGGTGCGCTTGAACTCACTTTTAATGCGACTTGAATGTACATCAAAAATTCAAGTTGCAGGTTGTAGTGGGGTACTCCCTGATGGGTTTTTGGGCAATTTCGAAATAGGTTGTCGGAGCTCCTCCAAAAATAATCGCATTTTTGTGGTTTTTTAGGGGTAAAATAGCAAAATTGGCCTTGGGGCGACAAATTAAATCCCCTGTCCCTCATCCTTGCCTTGACCGATCTGAATTTTTAGTATGTGTTCACCTGGTATAAGATGTGACTTTTCTGAAATTTTCATGCCCATACAAATTTGTTTGCTCCCACGGCAGCGTTGCCAAGTTGCGGACTCAAAATATCGAATTGGATGATAAAATAAAGGTTTTGAGGTGTGATTTCATCCAAAATTTCACAAAAAATGTGCAATCTGAGAGTTTTCGATAAGAAAAAGCATATTTGAACATTTTAGAGTTGCAGCGTTGCCAGCTTCACGATTTAAAATTCGTCAAAATGACCCGAATCGCGTTGCAACTTCAAGGTCAGGATTTTTATTTCGTTCAGAATTGGTCAGTGCAGTTCTTCTATACTTTATGCATTTAGGTACCATGAAAATTATGCCATTACTTACTTGATGGGTGCAGCTAACTCAACAAGAGAGGCCGGATAAAGCGAAGATTCGGGGAAAAGCGAGTGGTTCGGGAAAGTTCTCTTTATAGGACGCAAAATTTACTTAACATCTTTAATTTTGTTGTCTGGTCTACTTTTGTTATGAGGGAATTTATTTCAATATAACTCAAAATGATTGTGATTTTTTGCAAATTTTCGATTCTTCAAATTGTTGAAGGTCATTTTCTGGATTCGAACGATCCAATCCGCTGTGAGAGGAGGTCGAATTCGAGGACTTTCAAGCTTTTTTGAATCGTCGTTTTCCACTCATTTTATTTGTGTTTTAATGTTTCATGTTTTTGAGAAAAATTTTGGGGGCAAGATTTTAGATAGAATGTTGAAAGTATTGACAGCAACAGGGATAAGGTTTGGGAGTTGGGAGGAAGTTCTCAAATTCTACTTTCTGTTGATGGAGTGGATTTAAGAACTTTCTGTCAACCCAAACCACTCGCTTTTCCCCGAATCTTCGCTTTATCCGGCCTCTCTTGTTGAGTTAGCTGCACCCATCAAGTAAGTAATGGCATAATTTTCATGGTACCTAAATGCATAGAGTATAGAAGAACCGCAATGACCAATTCTGAACGAAATAAAAATCCAGACCTTGAAGTTGCAACGCGATTCGGGTCATTTTGACGAATTTTAAATCGTGAAGCTGGCAACGCTGCAACTCTAAAATGTTCAAATATGCTTTTTCTTATCGAAAACTCTCAGATTGCACATTTTTTGTGAAATTTTGGATGAAATCACACCTCAAAACCTTTATTTTATCATCCAATTCGATATTTTGAGTCCGCAACTTGGCAACGCTGCCGCGGGGGCAAAAAATTTTTGTATGGGCACGAAAATTTCAGAAAAGTCACATCTTATACCAGGTGAAAACATACTAAAAATTCAGATCGATCAAGGCAAGGATGAGGGAGAAGAGGTTTAAGTTGTCGCCCCATGCCCAGTGTGCTATTTTACCCTTAAAAAACCACAAAAATTCAATTATTTTTCAAAAATCTCAAACCCTCTGTTTCGATATTGGCCAAAAACCCATGAGGCAGTACCCTACTACAACTTGCGATTTGAATTTTTGATTTTGAATGGAAATCACACTGCGAAACCTTCATTTTATCATCAAATTCGATATTTTGGAGTCCGCAACTTGGCAACGCTGCCGTGGGAGCAAACAAATTTGTATGGGCATGAAAATTTCAGAAAAGTCACATCTTATACCAGGTGAAAACATACTAAAAATGCAGATAGGTCAAGGCAAGGATGAGGGACAGGGGATTTAATTTGTCGCCCCAAGGCCAATTTTGTTATTTTACCCCTAAAAAACCACAAAAATGCGATTATTTTTGGAGGAGCTCCGACAACCCATTCCGAAATTGCCCAAAAACTTATCAGAGAGTACCCCACTACAACCTCCAACTTAAATTTTTGATGTACATTCAAGTCGCATTAAAAGTGAGTTCAAGCGCACCGTGCCTCTGAAGAGGTATTGGTTGCAGAGTTGGTCGCATTTTCTGTTAAGGATTTTTA